AAAAATATAAAGAAATATGAGAAAAGCTAAAGCAGTGCTACACAGTACTGCAGTTCAGATTTTAATTATTTTTAACTGTGTTTTAATTGTTTTTAAACATTCTTTTGTAAGTATAAGTGACATGATGCATCATAAACCGCTTTTCGGGGCATTCATACGGTAATTTAAATCCCATACATCAAACAGGAACTTTTGGCTGTAACGAACCTAGTTGGTTGAAATGTTTGTTGTGAGTTTACCATGATTAAGTTAGTTATTTGTTATCAGTTATTAGCTAGTTATTTGAATTAAAGGAAATTAAGGGAATCACAATCTGCTGCAAATCTCATTCCACCTAATCAATGTACAGCACAAAGCTACTGTATTATGTGCAATTTTATCTTCTTTGTAAGAAAAAAAACAAGACTATTAAAATACTGAAATAAGTTCAGTCCAGAACCACTTTTGCCATTTATCTCCATTCACTCCAATCTTCAGTTCATAGTGGATAGTCTGAGCCAATAGCGTGAACCCCTTGTTGGTAAACTGTGGTCATTTTGGGCAAAAGATTATTAGAACTCTTTAGGATCCATATTATTTTACGTTCTCATCACACTCATTGCTGATGCCAGCAAATTTGCCACTTTGGCTAGAGCTACAAAAAACAAACAAGCATAGGTGGAGTAATGTTTATCAATGGCAGCCATCTGGAAATGTTTCCAACAGCCCAGCACCAAACACAAACAGTTCCACAATATGTAGTACAGCGGCTACATTTTCAAGGATACAAATATGCAATAAGCTCACTCTCAAAGATGGAAAGAATGGTAAGAAAGAGAAGACAGGAGAGGAATATAAGGGAACATTTTCAAAGTGCTCAGTGACATCTAATAAATCTGAAATGTAATGTTTAGGTACGGTTCTGAAGTATGCTGGAGTTTTAAAATTAGATATTGGATCAAACATGATGTATAGCTGTAGCATACATTTTTATTATAAGGCCGGATGAAAATATAGACTGTTCAGTACAGTTCAGTGCAGGCTAAAGTAGCTAGTTTGCAGTGTTGTGGTAAAGTTTACAGTAATGCATGTTGTACTGGTGCAGGGCAAGCTATGGTTTTGATGGTCAATGTTACACCAAGCCAAGTGAAACTGTGCTTATCTCCATCCATCCATTCGCTTCCGCTTCCCCTTTTCAGGGTCGCGGGGGGCGCTGGAGCCTATCCCAGCTGTCATAGGGCGAGAGGCGGGGTACACCCTGGACAGGTCGCCAGTCTGTCGCAGGGCCAACACATAGGGACAGACAACCATTCACACTCACATTCACTCGCACATTCACACCTAATGGCAATTTGGATTATCCAATTAACCTATCCCCACAAGCTGCATGTCTTTGGACGGTGGGAGGAAGCCGGAGTACCCGGAGAGAACCCACGCAAACACGGGGAGAACATGCAAACTCCACACAGAAAGACCCCGGCCTGTGCTTATCTCTTTAAGCTTATCTGTGCGATTATGTTACTGAATTCAGTTAACACTACAGAGAGCAATAAAGCTTAGAGCTTACAGCACAGCTCAGGTGATCACAGCCTGTATGCAAAAAGAACAAATCTACTGTAGCTTACAAAACAAATTTTTTACACGTCTTCTTTCTAGTGAATTCCCCCCATGCTTCATTTTTACACTGTACCCCGCACGTAGAATCTCACATTAACCCATGAATAAAGCAATTAGTACAACTTTGATACAATTTAGGATGTTTTATTTAGCTATTGACTATGTGCACGTTAGCATATGCTACTTCCGGTGCAGAAACTCCTGTGGGGAGATTTGTTTCCGGTGTCCTATTCACACCCTGTTTACGGTCCAAAACAAGTTAAGCAAATGAATGAATCAAGTGGCGATTTACATTTCTATAGATGTCTTGGGCATTTACCCAATATATCTGTAAATGATGTTCATCGACTTGTCGCTATTTTCCCCCCCACGCCTCAGAGCAAAAGAGAAAAGGGATTCAAATGTTATATTTCTCAGCTGTCCCTCGTTTATCGCGGGTGTTATGTTCTAAAAATAAGCAGCGATAGGTGAAATCAAATAGCCAATTTTATTTTTTGACGGTGCCAAACGTTTCGTGGACATCGTGGACATACAGTACTGCACTTCAGAGTCACACTGCTAGCGATCGATGCAGCGATTCTGTACTGTACAGGAGAGACGTCACGGAGGAGATCGTCTGCAGCGATCAGGACGCAGGACACAATGTGACGTAAAAAAAAAAAAGCATGCAAACTTGCACTAAAAAAATGTGCGAAACAGCGAGGTGAAAGGTGAACCGCGTTATAGCGAGGGACCACTGTAATTTTGAAGGTAAGTCACAACATACCCTTCGTACATACTAATGTATAGAAACCCTTACCAGCAATCGTTCATTTTTTGTGTGGCTTTTTTCACGGTTTGTTAACATGCTGTGTAGGTGTGTACTTGACTAGCTGATATCGACATAATGGGGGAAACATCTGGTTTGACTATTCTTCAGCTGTAGTTTGAATGCTGAACATTTGCCTGTTTAAATCATAAGACCAGTCACTATACAAAGATGTGCTTCTGAATGTGGATGATGTGTCTTCTGCTGCAGTGATGCAGTTCTGCTTGTGTTGAGTGATGTAAACAACTGATCGATCTAAACTCTTTAAATGTCAAAATTGATCATTCGATTTTTTATGACACAACCGTGGTGAGTGTTCCCACCTTCTGCTCTTTGTAACTTAACGCGATCTTTCCGTTTTTGGACATGATTTTGGAGGATATCTTTGCAGTAGCGATTGACCGCAAAGTAAAGCTACTGGAAATGCACAACCCCACATCCGGTCTCAAACCAGGAAGTTAGCATTTTCTCGTGCACAGGGTCAATTGTAATTCCCACTGATTCCCTTTTGTTTGATTTGTGATAACAAACTTAATTACATATGAATTAGGTCGTGAAAAAAAGGTGTGAGAAAATGTCAATCTTAGTTTTGCCAATTGCTAAATGCTTTTAGAAAAACAAAACAAAACAACGTATTCCTTAGTCTTCGTAAATATTTAACTTAGTGCTAACCTATTTCTAAACAAATCTTTTCTATTGCCTGAACTCAGTTATCAGTTAATGACAAAAACACATAATTGTGAAAGACAGATCATGAAAAACATTGATTAGTCAAAAATCACAAATGTTAGCTTTCTTTTTTTTTGGTTATCTAAATAATACAACCACACTGCCAGTGTAATTTATGTTTGGTAGCTTGTAGTTTGTATGATTTGTTTTTAAATTTTCTTCAGTCATAAAGTGCACAGATGAACTGTTACTGTAAAGCAGTGGTTCTCAAACTTGTTCTGGCATGTCCTGCTTCATGCCCCAATAATATTTTTTTATGAATCATTAACAATAAAAAGGGTTCAAAATGAATTGTAAAATCACTTAAATACTGACCTAATTTCACTTCATACTGTTTACCTAGCTGTCAGTGCCCCACCTGCAGGGGCTCCACGCTCACTGAAATTGAGTGAAGCAACTCAATAGAAAAAAATGACGCAACTGCTCCAAAAGCTACTTTTTGACTGGTGCAAAACAGCAGATGTCTGTTCCTGACTTACTGAGAGATGAAACTGCACAGCTGCTCAGACATATGTGACAAAGTGTGACTGTAACATTCACTGATGCACATTATTTTTTAATCCATAAAGGCTCTAAAACAGAAAACTTACAGAAAGTATAAATGTAAAGAAAACTTGAATGGTTGAATTGAATCCTGTGCCCCTCCCACATCCTACTTCTAGTATATAGTAAGTAGTACATAGAAGAGCCTTAGCAGGCCTCATCTATGTAACCTCATGGTGACTGAAGCATCTATAATCAGTCTTGATAATGAATAAACCACTCAGAATGTTATGTAACACCATGACTGCAATGTCTGTCAGCAGAGTGGCGGATTTTACTTGCAGTTTCTATTTACTGGCACTGAATGGCTTATATCGTCTATTGTACAGTGGAGCTAGTCTAATAAATTGACTTTATCAGAATAGCTCGTTTAGGACAGACTTTCAACAAAGCAGAATAGTGCAGATTTCTTACCTCCATTGTTCCTCCAAATCTCCCTGGCACACTGATCAGAGGAGGTCAAATCTGATATCTGGATATTGGGATTTGATTTGTAGTCATCTTAGGTAAACAGAGAAAAATGAGATTGTTACTTGATGGCACTGAAGCATTTCCTAGATGCCGGCAGGAACACTGATATTTCTGTAGTAAAGGAGTCGGTCAGGACTTACTGTTGTTGCTCAATGAAAAGGACTCGCTCTCCCTCATCGTCTCGTTTCCGCTGTCCGACAGTGTCCTCTCATTCCTGGAGATGTGCGGCCTCTTCTTAGTACTCTTCCGAGTGCTAATGCGGATGATTCCACGCACTAGCCGACACTCGGCCTCCTGCTCATCCATTTTATGTTCCTCAGCCAGTGAGTTGATGAGCTGGTTGATGGCCTTGCTCTTTTTCAGGAACACCGAGTCTGAGGTGCACCGGGCCAGTTCTTCAATCTGATATTCAGAGTAGAGCTCCAGCAGCTTCTTAGTAATCAGGGAGTCCACATTCTCCTCCCCATCCTCCCAGTCATCAATCCTTATAGACTCATGCAGCGACTGGTGGCTCGGCAGTGTCTGAACACCAGGAGGTGGCACGTATGGCAAAGTGGGAGGATTGGTTTTAGCACCTAAATACTCTATTGTGCTGTCCACTTTGACTCCAGCAATGTGGAGATCCTCCAACCAGGGTTCTTCTGCAGTGTACTCTTCTTTGTTGTCTCTTGAGTTCATAGCTTGGAGACTCAACCTCTCTGGTTCATCTGGTGAACTCTCCTTTGGTGCCAGGCATGGAGCGAGGATGGAGTTCTGGCAGACCCTGTACAGGCCGCAAGTAAGTATGCTACATATAAAAGTCCTACAGCTTCTTGGAGAAGCGCATGGATTGCAGGTTTGGGTTGCAGTGGATGGCTCAGCTGAGCCAGGAATGAAGCCAATGGTCTCATACTGTCTGCCATTAGCATCCTTCAGGTCAGCTTTGTGGACTCCTTTCGGCTCTGGGTTTTGTGCTCTGTCTTCAACTGGGTCCACACAACGTTCTTCATAGGACGACCCCTGGCTGTTGCTCCGGCTGGACCGAAGCCTGTGGCCTGCGCCACGTCCTGAACCATGCGTAAGGCTGCTGGAGGTGCCAGCAGACATGATTGACTGCATCAGAAAATCCAAGAACAAAAATGAGAAAAACATTGAGGTCATCTGAGGTTCAATTAAATGATGACACAGGGTTGAAATAGTACAGCTAAACAAAACGTTTCTTATAAATCCACATTGTCAAGCAGGAAATAAGTGTGCTCCTAAGCACCTGAAGGCATTTCTCTTCAAAACAATCGTGAAACTAATATCCGCAGGTGGCAGGTAATGCAGCCCAACAGGTTTTACGGAGTATGTGTACACACAGTCAAACACAATTACCCGTTCTTATATCAAATATACTGCATGATGTCATGGAGATCACAAAATACTCATTGAAACTCCAATGAGTACACTTTCTGGTGATTCACACCTATATTCATTTCAGAATTATATAGTTTTATTTCCTTTTACTCATTAAGAACACATAACAATGATGAAGGCTACTCTGTGGATATGGATCATTAAAATTAATTTAACGACAAGTGTGGCTATTTCGCCAGTCATTAAAACAACCTGAGTAAAGACGAATGAATGCCGAATTTAAAAAAAATGTGTAATTATAAATTATAATTATTTTACATTTGTATTTATTTATTTATTACATGAATCTTATTAGAAAACGACAATGTTGCAATTCTTCAGTAGTGTTTGGCAACCTGTGTTGTGACGATATACGCCTGGACATTTATCAACAGTATGACTTAGCTTTTAAAAAAACAAGTCAAACGGGACTATAGTATTGCGGTTTTGTCTTTATCTAATCACAAACTCGATTGGACGGTAACTTTAGGAACATATGAGCTCGAATTTCGTCTCAAATACAAATATTATTTTCACTTTCATGGCGACTTGTCATTGCGGCAGTTTCCTCCATTTGAGGACTTTCTCACCTAACATTACTCACAGTTTACACGGTGCGTCCACCGGCCGTCTCCCGAATTAATGCTAGATTCTCCACTTTATGGTACGCATTTATTTATTGTAATCCATTTCGAACGTTTCGTGTATGAATTTCGGCCCAAATCGCCAGTTTCAACAAAGTTTTCGACCAAATCTGTGTACCTGAGCGTCAAGGTAGAAGAGGCGCACCAGGTAGCTACAGCCAGAGGTTGGCCTTCCGGTTGTAAGTGACTCACAAAATAAAATGTACATCAAATTGCCAATGTAATTTTGCATCTTGCACGATAATAGCGCATCACGGGCGTCTTAACTTTTCTCAGGAAGGCAATGATAAAAACAACAACAACAACAACAACAGTTAAAACACAGTTATACCCAGCCTACCATTATAAAAGGTAATTTTTACAGTTTTATTTTTTAACAGATTTCCGGTGGTTATTGTCCTTATCTGTGAACCAGCGTCAAGTCACCTACACTGGTCATTGAATTACCGGATATTCCATATGAAAGTATACTGATATTTTTTTTTACATATATTTGAGAGAACAATTTAGTAACAACAGTGCGAGTAAATAAAGTACATCTTTAACCAATATTTTCGTATGACTTTTATTATTATGGTACATAAAATATAATATTGAATGTTGTAGTTTATTTAGAAAGAAAACCAACCGGAAATACTACATTTCTTTGCGTTTACTTTGACAACACGGCTCGTTTTATGGCAACGTAGCTAAACAGCAGGTAGTCACGAATGTGTCAGGACTCCTCCTAGTAGAGCGATATGCATTAAAAATAACAAAGTTTTTGTGTTACATGTCATTTACTCATAAAGGACCGCCGGAGCTTAGCATAAAGGCCGGCAATAATCTATAAGTCGAGGAAGCTAACAAGCTAGCAGTGGTAATAGCACTTTGGGTTTACTGTTGTTAAATAACTCCGCAGCTGGATGAGCTTGCTAGGATGAATGGGAAAGCTAAGAAGCTAACGATGGTCATTGTGTTATAGGTTGGATTTGTGCTGTCTTTTTGGAGATAAACTTTTATAAATAATAAATTAGGAGTTATGAGAATAAACAGATATGTAATTTCGAGCACGGGGTCTCGTGGTTATTTACAGCTGAATATCCTCGGTGTGGGATTAGCTTATTTTCTCCTTGGAAAGACGACATTCGCTCCTTTCAGCTACCTCAAAATACACGGGAGTCGGTGATGCTGTCGGTCGCTGGACAAATGCACCGGGTGTCCGAACTAGGACAGAGCGGCCAGACTCCGTTATAAGCGATGAAAAACTGCGAGTATCAACAAATAGACCCGCAAGCACTTCCGACGCCCACCCCGACCCCTCCGCCTCATCATGGGAATGACACGGAGAAGAAGAAGGAGCCGAGAAGACCCAGGAGAAAGTGGGAAGTTTTCCCCGGAAAGAATCGCTTCTACTGCGATGGACGGATCATAGTGGCCCGACAGAGTGGGGTCCTTCCCCTTACCCTGGGTCTCATCCTCGTCACAAGTGGTTTATTTTTTATATTTGAGTGAGTTCGTCTTATATTATATGGTTCTGTAATACTGATTGCGAGTTCCGTCCAAAAGTTGTCCACAGATGATACAAAGCTGCTTTTTAAGCGATATTTTAATGAACCGAGCCCTGTCTGGCGCATCAAATCTGTTTTATTTATTTATATTGTTTGTCTGTTTGTTTGTTTTTTTCCAAAAGCAAGAGACTCGCTAACATACAGTTGCACTTAACAGGATGATATTTAATGATGCAGATTGCTCAAAAAAACAAAGCAAAAAAATACTGACCAAAGCGCATTTTTGACCCTGCACTGTATCGATATTTGTTTTAACCTGTGTGTTGCAATTATGTTTATTTTTAATGTTTTTTTTCTTAATATTTGAAGCTAAGTGCACATTTTTAAGAAGTAGTGCTTAATAATAGAAACAGGATTCTTTCTGCCACAGTAGAGTGAAAATGTGTTCAGTCTTCTGGGAGTTTTATGGCAATTAAAAGAGTTGAATGTTAATTAAAATTAGATCCATCAGTGAGTTAAAGAAAAGAAGAAGGTATGCTCAGTTATATGTGACAGAACATTGTCTGCATCTTTTCCCAGTGTGCCTTGGTAATTACCCCTGTCTGTGTTTGTTTCTCAGTTGTCCGTTCCTGGTCAAACACCTGACCAGCTGCATACCTGTTATTGGAGGAGTCCTCTTTGTGTTTGTGCTCATCACCCTGCTCCAGACCAGCTTCACCGACCCCGGCATCCTGCCCAGAGCAACACCAGATGAGGCTGCAGACATTGAGAAACAGATTGGTAATGTCTAATAGCTGCACTAGTACCTATGAGGTTGTCTGCAAGGCCTTTGAATTTGACGTCCCGAATTGTTTCCTCCAGACTGACATTCTGTTGGAAACACTGCTGGATAATAGGAGGAGTGGGGCTATATGTACTTGAGTGTACTGTGTGCTAAACATCAGTTTCAGGGGCTGAAAAGGCTTAAATGCCCAATATCTGCAGTTCCTCAAATAGCCACTGGAGGCAAACTCCAAAAACAAGCCAACCCAATGGTGGCACTGAGAGGTCAAATGGACTGCAACTCAAGAAAAAGCCTGCATATAGAAAAATGCAGTAAAAGCACTCAAAACAAAACACAAGTGTTTCTGAGAAGGTGATAACGTGACAGACTAGCTGTGACTGTAACGAAAACCAAAACATGCGATATATACACATGAATCATGTGATTAGATAGCAAGATACATTTAAAATTGCCTCTATAGTTCCCCCCCCTCATAATAACTCCATGGTGGATGGATTTTTGTATACAGTGCTTAACAAATGTATTAGGCCAGCTGTCATAAAAACAGAAAACACAAATATTTTAGAAATTTGTCAAAAACTTGTTAAAAAAAGTAAAAACATAATATTATTTATTATCCATATTTTTTATATCCAAATCAGAGAAGAAGTCAGAAGTGAATCAAACATTAGATTCAACCATTAAAACAATTTTTTTTTCTGTTCAGGAATTCAACTAAATAGCTAATTTGGCATCTTAATAAAAAAGAATAAAGGTGGATTAACATTGCAGAAATACAAAAAGTGATTTTGGTAAGCAGCTGTGAGGCATCTGTAGCATAAACCTTACACTGGGTGGTGTAAGGCTTTCTAATTATCAGCATACTGGTGGTAGGGACATGACCCTCTTGATTGATATGTCTTCTGATACAGAGAACTGTAGTCGATACATCTCGCCTTCACTACCTTTTGGTGTGTTTTCTGGTTGTTTCATATGATTGTTTGATAAGTAATGTGCCTTCTTGTAAAGTACAGCCCGTCTAAGAAGTTTGTGCTTCGGATTGGGTGAGTAATATTTAGTCTGTGCTGTGCTAGCAGATATAAGTGTGTTTGTTGTACGCGTGCAGTTTATGTAAGTAGCCTGCTAATCAAGCATGCTAGCATTAGTTGGTAACCTAGCACCCTGTTATACAGATTTTGTCAAACAAGAATGATAAGAATTGTTCTTAATAAATCAGCCATGTTGGTAATGATGGTGCTCACTGACACATATGGAAAAGGAAAAATTAGTCACCAAATATACTTGGTTGGCCTAAAATCTGTGTGCAGGAAATGCTGTCCAGTGTTGTCACATTTTTTCTCTTTTGGGATATTTCTGCACTGTGTTTTGGCTCTAAAGTTTCGTATAGGACGGGGAATCTTACCCATAAACCAGTACTGCTTAAACACAGCTTATTTTATTCCAAGTTATTGAAGAGTCAGTGGCCTTGACTTTGTTTTGATTAAAACACCATTCATAGTTTCAAGATAATGAAAGCGCTGTTCTGGTGTGGCTAATTCTGGAATCACACATGCGTGTACATTTTAATGGCTCAGTCACAATTTAAAATTCTTCAGGTCATTTTAATGATGCGGAAGTCATCAAGACATAAAAGAACATAAGTGGAATTTGCTGTGTAATAAACGTCATATTAGCACGTTGAAAAGTGTCTGCTGCCTTCTAATTTTGGAGTGAAGTTTTCACTAGATTTTATACAGATTTATTTTCCCCAATCTTTCACACCTCAGACCTGTTCAAAGCTCATCAGTTATGTTCACTGTCAGTTTTATGCCATGCCAATATTATTTTTACTTTCCATATGACTTGCATCGTTATAATGACCTGCATGTCTAAAGCTGGCTTTCTGTGCACTTTGGAAACTCCTACTCATGACCAGAGTTTAGGCAGTGGTGATGTAAGATCCACATGTTATCCAACTGAACTGTACAACAGCTATTTTTGAAATGAAGATTCTGGCGTGACTGTTGAACATTTATTTGGGCCCCAATGCTTCAGGAAAGATTCTGGAAATCTCTCTTGTGTAGCTTCTTAGTTTGAATTAGCGCACGGTTTAGTATGGTATGGAATGGATGACACCGACTATTGTAAAAAAAAATAAATAAAGAAAGAAAAAAACCCATACGGAACCATCTGTAAGTTGCGCAAAAAGAATAGCGGGTATTTCTTTGTTTTTTCTATTATTTTTCTCATGTTGGTCAACCTCTCAGGCACAGTGTCCAAGTTACTGGGAGAGAGTTTTTGCAGGTTAGTCATTTTGTGAAAGATGACACATCATTTTCCATCTGCTGTTACGAGCTGCACACCTGACACCAGATGTCTTTCTGCTCAGGCTATTATTGGGCTATAATCCACCCCTCGCCCTGAGTAAGAGTGGATAAAGGCGCAAGTTGTTACAACCCAGTGAAGTGGTCAGACCTGATTTTACAAGGATGTGAAGTGTGACAGAAAATTATTATAGGTTGAAATTGTGTACATTAAAACAGGATTCATACGTACACTATGCTTCATTGATTGACAGTGGGAGTACCTGACATCTGGGGTGTCCTTGCGAGTGGGATAGTCAAAGCAGTAACAGCTAGCCATTAACAAGGCAAGCTAACTGAGCTTTAATGATCACTTAGCATGAGTCACACTAACTGCCTGCCTCCATTTTCATGCTGAATTACACAAACTTCCTTCATATTTTAATAACACGATGTGATGGATGGATTTGATTGGCTGCCATGGTGCTGGCATTGGAGAACTTTCTCAACTTTTAAGTGCAAGCACTGAAAGCAAAACAAAGGTCCAGATTCACAGTTTAGTTATGCACTGCATTTAAAGTCAATGAGAGGTGTGGGGATTGAAGTTTGAAATGCAAATGTGTAAATCCCTGTTTTGTGTGCATGGAGACTCTCCAGGCACTCCAGGTTCTTCAAACTGCCCATAGACACAAGCAGTGTTCAGGTTCATTTGTGTTTCAAAATTGGATGTAGGTTTGAATATGAGTATGAATGTTTGGCTCCATGTTCTAGCACTGCGACACACTGGCCACCTGTCCAGGGTGCACTCCCCCTTCCCCTGTGGGTTCAAGTCTGTAGCAGTGATTGAGGGAAAACTTTTTGAAATGATCTTTTAGAGCAATCTTCAAAAGGTTTTTAATGAGAAGCTCAAAGTACTGACCAGAGATGCGTGCGGCCCTAATGATGTGCACGCATTGCTGATAATGTGATGGTATCCATTCACACTTTTATCGTGCTTTAAAGTGGTTTGTGAATGTGACACTTGTAAGTTTGCTGCCATGACTTTGATGGAAGTGGAAACTCGATGCTTACTGCAGCAATAACTGCACACCTACCTTAGATTAAAGCAAAACACTGTGTCCCTATTTTCACTGTTCTTCTCTGTAGACAACACTGGAAACACCAGCTATCGACCTCCGCCTCGCACCAAGGAAGTGCTAATCAATCAGCAGGTGGTGAAGCTCAAGTACTGCTTCACCTGCAAGATGTTCCGCCCTCCGCGCACCTCCCACTGCAGCCTGTGTGACAACTGTGTGGGTGAGCTGTGAACACACAGCGACACTGACATTTACAACCCATAAATAATAAAAAGAGGCTTCACAGAGCTGCAGAGAGCGCACTTTTATATAGCTCAGTGCTCTAGAGTTTTTTTAACATTCCTAAAATGTGAGTTGATCACTGTCTTTCAGAGAGATTCGACCATCACTGCCCCTGGGTTGGGAACTGTGTAGGGAAACGTAACTATCGGTTTTTCTACACCTTCATCGTGTCGCTCTCCTTCCTGACGGCGTTCATCTTCGGCTGTGTGACCACACACCTAGCACTGAGTATGTGGTTTTGCTCTGATCTGCAGGTGTTTCATGCTTGGGAAGTAGCCGGCTTCAAATAGCACCTGCTTGTTTGTTTTGTTTTATTCGGACTGCCAGGCGTGGTTCACAACAGCAGAGCAGTTTAATGTCTGACAAAAGCATTAAACTGCTTTTGTCAGACATTAAACTGACAAAAGCAGTTTACGTGGATCAGCTCGGTCATTTCCCACACAAATTAAATTTTATCATCCTGAAATCCTGCTCACTTTCCTCTTTTTCAGGAGCTCAGGGCGGGAAGGGCCTAGTGTTTGCGCTTCAGGAGAGTCCGGGGAGATATCCTGTACCGAATAAGATTTTTTTACTCAAAAAACACAGTCAGTGACAGAAGTCGGATGAAAATCAGTCAGCTTGCGTATGTATATATAACATATACATAGACACCATTGCCATCTGTGATCATTTTTCTTATTTGTACTGTTTTTAACCGTGTTTTTCTTCACTTTATATTAGGAAACAAAAATTACTGTAATCCGTAGGGAAGTACAGACTGAGGCTCTCTGGGCTGATATCAGGTTCTAAATAACAATTTGGCAAATATCCAGTGCTCGAATGGGGATATGTTTTAGTTGATTAGCTGTTGTTATGTCTTATATATTTCTTGCATTGTGCCAGTGAAACAAATTTGGCACAATTTTCAAGCCTTTTGTTTTTTCTTATGTAGCCAGTGTTTTGATAACTTTGCTTTCCTTGACTCAGTCTTTCACTGCAGTGGAGCTGGTGATATGTTTCTTTTCAGTTTGGTCCATTTTGGGCCTCTCAGGCTTCCATACATACCTGGTTGCTTCCAATCTTACCACTAACGAAGACGTGAGTACCCAAAGCTGCTTTTATGACTCAGTTTGTTAGACGACATCATGTTATTTTGTTCATTTTGTGATGCTTGTTAAATCAAAGAAAATATACTCTGTATGTAATTTGTAAATATAGTTAATATTAATTTTCTGTTAGTGTGGAAGTATATTTAACATTAGAATACTTTTAATTAACAATAACAATAGTAACAACAACACAAATATTAATACTAATATTTTGTTAGTAGTAAGGGAAATCTTGCAGATACTTTTGTATTCACAAAGTGAACAAACTCTACTTCCAAAATAATGTGTTTGGGGAAAAACATGTCATATGTTTTATATCAGAATCAGATCAGAATCAGAAAGACTTTATTTATCCCCAAGGGGCAATTATATGTGATTTGTTTTTATTTTTTATATTTATATTTTTTTTAGATTAAAGGCTCCTGGTCAGGGAAGAGTGGAGAAGATGTTACAAACCCATACAGTCATAAAAACATCTTTATCAACTGTTGCTCGGTGCTTTGTGCGCCCATGCCGCCAAGGTTGGTCCTCTTTATGAATTACTCCTTCCATCATTAAATCTTTAATATCGAGTCCAAGTAACAAAGAGAGATGCTTGTGAGGATCCTTGTATATTAGTTTTAGCTATTTTATTACTAATGGGCTGTTTAAGATGGTGCATATTTCATTTGCAAGCATGCATACTTTATGAAAGAAGCAATCACTGATAATTTTAAATAAGTTTGTATGAGTTGATAAAGAGAGCGCAGTACTAATAAACCTGTAGCAATAGCAATCAGCTGGATTGTGGCTATTTTTGAATTACAGAGCTTCAGTTCATTGTTTAATTGCAATTTAGTTTTATGTGTGTAAGTAGCACCAGTTTAGTTGTCTCAACCACTTACTATTACAAGATAAAGATGGAAAACCAGACAGCCAAGAGAGTAAGTAGTTGGAGATGGCGGGGAGGAAGAATTCCTAATTCTTAATCTGTGATGTGCGTTCTGCATTCATGACAAAGATGACAAGAACATTCGTATCTTTCTGTGCCATTTCAGCTTGATTGACAGACGGGGTTTCCTGCCGGCAGATGAGTCTGCCCAGACTGGCAGTGCTGACATCGAGCTGCCCACCCTGGCTGCTAAAAGCGAGATAAATGTGGTAGGAGCCGCTTTTGCATTGCAGAAATCCCCCTCTCCCGTGCCTGCACCCTGTGACTGCCACCAAAACTCTTTCTGTGCCTGAGAGAAACCTCGTTGCCTGCTGTAGCCCCAACCCAGCATCTGTCTGCTGCCTGTTGTTGACTGTCATGTAAAGGTTTGGTGTATTAACACTCTAGTCAGAGGTTTATCGCACAGTATTATGCCTCTTATTGGAAGTTAAAGGGATAGTTGAACGTTATGGCGCATTTGTTTGGTTTGGTTGGTGGAGTTTTAAAAAATGTTTTTTCTATTATTCTATTTCTTATTCTAGTAAAGAGCTGCAATGTTTTTAGCTCAGTTTTACTTATTAATTTATTATGATTATGAAAACCAGATAGGGTACTAGTTAGGAGTACTTACTTGCCACTCAACACCTGTTTTGGTTTTAAACCGAAAGCTGAAGGACCTAGAAGGACATCAAATGAAGAGAATGCATTTGGGGGCTTTTGAAGCAGTACAATCACAGTTTGAAGACTGCTTAAACTGGGTTACTTTATACATTTTTAATATTTTATGACAACATTATTTTGAAACTGAGTTGTCCTATCTTTAAGAACACCTTATTAACTAAATATAAAAAAATTTAGCGAAGTCTGTTTATGGTCTGTGTGTTTGAAAGATGAGAGCAGTAGTGGTAGACAAGTATTTTGGATTTTTAAATCGCTAACTGTCATTATTGGTGTTCCTATACTGGTTAGACTCTACAAAGGACAAACTATTCTATTTGTTATATTCTACTAATTCTAATGGTTGCCAAACCATGTTTTTATTGATATATACTGAGGTGTCAAAACTCATCATTAAGGGTAGAGGGGGATGTCATCAGATGCAAGAGTTAAAGGAAGAGTCGGGGGAGGGATATAATATTTTTATAAATGATCGAGGGGGCACAACCACACATGGATAACCATTTACACCTATGGGAAATTTAGAGTTTCCAGTTAACCTATCCCTACTAAGTGCATGTCTTTGGATTGTGGGAGGAAGCCGGAGTACCCGGAGAACACCCACGGAAACACAGGGAGAACATGCAAACTCCACACAGAAAGACCCTGGGCCCGACCTTCTTGCTGTGAGGCAACAGTGCTAACCGCTGTGCCACCGTGCTGCTCATACATGATTTATGACTTCGTAGAGTGACCACTAGAGGTATGTTAATTGTCACGAAGTCCCTGTCCTGATGATATTGAGGTCTGCTGCTAGCAGCACTCTTTGAATCGCGCATTACTGAATAATTATTAAGTTGAATTGTCAAAGACGCAGACAATTAAATTAGAAAAAAGAGAAAAACTCATAAAGACCAACAGTAGCCAGTCACCCAGTAACACCTCTTAATCTTGTTTGTTTCTTAAAAAAACAAAATGTTAACGTATTGATTTATAATTTTTGTTGAAGGCATATCTTAGAAATATAGATGACAAACATGAAAAAGTAGCTCTAATGTCCAGGTTTAAATAAGAGAACTAATGATGCTTTGGCAGGTGCGTATTTTAATTCAGGAAATAGTCAACTGGGGTCCTGTTTCATGACTTCTTACTGCATTAAGCTAAGGTGAGAAAGTGACATTAATCTTCTCATCTGACTCTGAGTGCTAAATTGAACTGCTGCCTTTTGTTTTTTTACTTGAACTACTTTGTTAAAGTGTAATTTAATATGGTGTCTTTAGCTGTTGTTCAGCCATGTCTACCTCATGGAAATGCACACATAAAATTCTTCTTGTGCTATTTTTAATAGAGAGTACTACTCTCTGTATGCACATTTTTCCTCAGTGTTTACTTCTATGCAGTATCGTGTGCCAGCTCCGGGTGTTTAGAGAGCAGGAGATGTAAGAAGTGTTTCCAGCTCCTCCTCACAGAGCATCTCTCTTGCTGTTCTCTCTGACAGCAAGGGATATAAAAAGATACTTGAAGTGTTTTTAAGCCAGTTTTGTTTACAAGACTTGCCCAGAGTTCAGATAGAGTTGCAATCTGAGCCTCAATATATTCACATATCGCGTAGTACAGTGAGAGTCAGTTGAAGCTGGAGTCTTGTGTCTTTGAGTGTGTATAAGCTAGCCTTTTGAAGTCAGTTGATAAGCTGGTGACGCTGTAAAGAAAGCTATTTCTGTAACAGCGGTTTGTAAATTTGAGTGCGTGCTGTTTGTTTTCTCCTGTCATGTCTGTCTGCATATAAAAGGTTAAAATGCCAAAAGATTTGTGACGAGGGAAGCTCCTCATGTCCTTCATCTCTTGCTTCCCGTCATGCCTTTGTTTCATTTTTACGTGTTTTTTTTTTTTTTTTTACGACGTTTCAGTTTTTAGTATCTGTAATGTATAACATTAAATTTTTGTCCATGCAGTTCATCATGTGTTGTCATTTTTCATTTTGTTTCCATCCATCATCACCGTTTTCCTATCACAGTACAAGGAGACATACTTTTCTATACTTTTCCTACGAGACAAACCCAGAATCAGTCCCTCCCTGTGTGTCTGCTCACCCAGTGCTGACTCACTGTTCTCTGTGTGGTGTGTCTCTGTGCCTGCGTCCCTCCACCAACACTAGGAGGAGAAGTGTCTGGACTTTGCTCTGTCCTGCACTGGCTGATTAGCCGCTGTTAGAGCAAAGAAAAGCGAGCCTTGAGCTTGGTAAGCCTGTATAGAGAAAGGGAGAGTGAGTGCAGACAGCCTGTGGCCGCCGTTGTCTTTGCATGCCCCTTTGCTTGGCTGCTTTACTCCCGCATGGCTTTAACCATTGCCAATGTTAAATGCATTGAAGTGTATAATTGATCACAGTAAAGGGTGCATAGTTACGGATCAAACAACTCTCTTGTGCTAACCATCAGACCGTTCAAAGACTGACAAAAACAACTGTAGGAAGATGTTCATTCAGAGGTCAGTGAAACATAATGACAGCCATTAAACCAGCTTCTTAAGGAATGAACTGCAGGGCTTTAACAGTGCTTAGAGACTTCCCATGTGTGTATAATTTTTAGGTTTAGGGGTGGAAACAGTGTTGAAATATACCCATATGGTGACAGCACATTTTCTCGACCCTGAATTATACGTAGCGTATAAACTTTGAATACAAACTAGCATATGGAGAAAAAAAAAAAGGTTTAGCATTTAAATGAAAAATTTTCCAGAGCTTATGCTGTTAAAATTCATTCATTTGTCAGACTAATTTAGATTCAAGGCTAAAGAAGCGAATTCGGGTGAATAGTTGCATTTAAAAAGTGCCCAAAGCAACATTTTATACTAAGAAATGATCAGTTCATGTAAAACGGGTTGCTCATAGTATCAAATATTATCACCAAACTGAACTTCCAGTCAGTTCTGTGCAGTTTAACAGCTCCTTTCAGCTCACTCTTTTGGTTTTACTGGTCTTAGTTTGGCTGAGCTAACTGCTACTTTATATTTTCATTGTGTGTTAAATTGCTTTAGTAATAAAAGGTACTTTTTAAAAGTACATTTGCATGCTTATAAAGCTCCCAGCCAATCTCTGTTTAATTCGGTGTTTTTTATTTGGCGTCAGTTTAAAGCAAAGCATCTCAAGGCAGGTATGTTTATAAGGTAAAGGCTGTGTAACGTTACAGAGTGGGATAAAAACATCTGCCAACAAGCAGAAAGAAGTCAGGTTCAGGGTCTGCTGCTGTACTTGTAAACATTTACTGTTTTGAGCTACTGAACCTTTAATCTCAGTTCAGATCAACTTGGATGTGTCAGCTTGAAAATGTAAACCTTTAAATTGCAAAGAACCCACCACACAAATGCACGCTTGATAATGGATGCATTAACAGAGCCAATGCATCCAATCACTTCCTTTTAGCCAGCTTGTCCCAGTGGTCACTCATTGTATACTGTATATATATTGTATGTCTGTATATTACAGACAAGAGTTTTTCACATAAACCACAATTATAAAAGTTTATAAAGCATTTACTGAAGACCACTGACTGTAAACAATGCTCTGTTTTATCGTTTTGGTCGGGACTTCTTCGTCTGCAGATGGTTTAAAAAGCATAGAAGATGTTTGTTAAACTTCAACATCTCCCAGAAGAATCTTACAGTTTGTGATCTCAGTGTAAAGCCTGACCTGAGTCTGATCCTTTGGGCAAGCGTGCAGGGATAGTGATATGGAGTTCTCTTTAATGGATCCAGCATGACGCGTAAGAAGCATCCACACTGGAAGAACTAGCAGTGATGATACCGTAAAAGATGGACTTATCTTCCTGATCTGAGAAATGAAGCCTTTAAGAGGACGTGAAACACTACACGTAAAAAGGCTAATCTACATCACGGAGCCCTGCTCTCAAACACTGATATAGATTTAACACTGTCTGCGAGTCTAGTCACGTTTGTTAAATTCTTTACAGCTAACAGCCGGATTTTTCCATTTCAGTGCAGGAAGCCAAATAATGAAAAGCCAATTACTGCGAAAGAGACAGACAGTGAAAGCGGACAGTATATCCTCGGTTTCTTAACGTAAAACTCATTGTTGCAGCCAGGGACAGCACAAAAGTGATCCCCTTAAACCAGGGCTGCCTAATCCCAGTCCTCGAGAGCTACTATCCTGCAGCTTTTAGATGCATCCCTACTCCAACACAGCTGAATCAAATGGTTTGATTACCTCTTCAGCATGCCATCATGTTTGGCAAAGGCCTGATAACAAGCCATTCATTTGATTCGGGTGTGTGGGAACAAGGATGCATCTAAAAGCTGCAGGACGGTAGCTCTCGAGGACTGGGATTGGGCACCCCTGCCTTAAACCATAGCTGTCAAACTCCAGTCCTCAAGTGCCGGTGTCCTGAAACCTTTCTGTGTACCTGCTGCAACACACCTGAATAACATTAGGTCATTAGCAAGACTGTAGAACTTGACTGCACGCTGAGGTGGCAATTCAGCCTTTTGATTCATGTTACAGCAGCTTATGAGTGAATGAAAATGGTGCAATAACAGTACAAGCTTTCAAAGACTTACACTTATTTAAAATTGCTTGAGTAGGGTTAGGGGTTGCCACCTCAGCATGCATTCAAGTTCTATAGAGTCTTGCTAATGACCTAATGTTATTCAGTTGTGTTGCAGCAGGGACATATTTAAACGTTTTGGGACACCGGCCCTCGAGGGCTGGAGTTTGACACACCTGCCTTAAACTCATTTTTAGTTTTGGTGTTGTTATTTTTTGGTGGCACGGTGGTTAGCACTGTTGCCTCACAGCAAGAAGGTCCTGAGTTCAATTCCACCATCAGGCCGGGGTCTTTCTGTGTGGAGTTTGCATGTTCTCCCTGTGTTTGCGTGGGTTTCTTCCGGGTACTCCGGCTTCCTCCCACCGCCCAAAGACATGCAGCTTGTGGGGATAGGTTAATTGATTAATCCAAATTGCCCATAGGTGTGAATGTGGGAGTGAATATGAGCGCAAATGGTTGTCTGTCCCTGTGTGTTAGCCCTGTGACAGGCTGGCGACCTGCCCACCGCGAACCCTATGACAGCTGGGATAGGCTCCAGCGCCCCCGTGACCCTGAAAAGGATAAGCGGAAGCAAATGGATGGATGATGTTGTTATTTTTCTCTGAGTTATCAATTCTATGGGCTCAGTCACTCATTTTGGGAACTTGTAAATTTTGGTCATAATAAGCGTCAAAAAGCAGGATTATCCAGAGTGCGCTCATTGGCTAAGGACATGTGCTGTTTGAACATGTTCTCCTCAAGGCTTCATAAAAGAATCTCACAAAACAGTCAGTGATGTCATAGTCACTATGTTCATCTTTTATGATATTTATGACAATAATGTGGGAACCAGAGGTAACAGAATATCAATGACATTCAGCAACTTTAACAGCGACAGGCAAAATAACTGCTGATGACATAAAGTGGCCAGGTTCTGAGTTAGACTTCTCACATTCTACTTGAATGGTGGAAACAACTACCAGCGAGAGTGAAGGATACGGTTGACTGACATATGATGGAATGCTTTTAGTGTTCACTAGTGACCAGTCGTCAGTGATGAAGCCACAGGCACCAAGCAAACTGCTTCTTGTGTGGACGCCCTGTTAAAGTCTGAATATTCTGGCAGCTGCTACTTAAACTTCATCAATCCTTTTTTAGAACCAGCTCTTGCAAACTATCACGCTTTGTTTTAGTGCCATTCTAAAAGTTTGGTGTAATAAATAAACAGGCTTCTTGAGCTAAATCAAATATGAAATGTGACTGGCCAGGTTCAATGTGCATGCCTATGCATGTCTGTGGCATGAAATATTTTGGATATCCTGCTTGAGATCACGTGTGGATCCTGCTTGCACTCCTAGTTGGCCTTTGACTCATGTTATATTTGCTGAAGTAATTTCAGAGACTGATGTTTTCCCTGTTAATATCACTAGCTTGTTTTGTCACTTGTTTTATTACTTTTTTTACTTCCTCTTTCTTGCACTGCCCTTGCAGTGCACACAGGGAACTAAAGGTCTGCTAGAATCGGCTGCGCTTTCTCCGCTCCTGTCCACCTCGTGTCCTCAGGGGAAACCTCAGAATGCTCATTCCTGCCCAGAAACCAGCCCAGCGTTGAACTCTGACCCCACATCGGAGTTCTCTAAAGGCTGCAGGGGTAACCATACGTCCAGCTCCCATGGCGATACTTCTCGTCCACGTCACACCAAAGCTCGCTCAAAGAAATGCAGACGAGAGGCTCTGCATATTCCCAACCCTGCATTTGATGTCCCAGTTTCCCCTACCTCTCCGGACGCTGCCCCTGACTCCAAAGCCAGGAGCCACAAAGGAGGCAGCCTCACCCCGTTGCACTGACTGACTGTCTTGAATGATGTTTTTCACAAGTCAAACACTGTTTGAGGCTTGCATGCTGTAACACAGTCAGATCCAAGTTATATGATTTTTTTTGTTTGGTTATTCCTGTTGGTTCTCTGAAACTCCAGGAGCGTTGAAGATGTTTGGTCACTGAGTAAGACAATCACAGGGGAAATAGGACAAATGTGATGAAGAGGATTCTAGATGCAACATAGCGCTGGTGTAGAGAAAAGTTCTAAGAAGGTTTGTGAGCCGTAGATTCTTCTGTAAAAAAACAAATTTACCAGCATGTCAGATTTCACCAAATTTGTGAAACAGCGGCTTTAATGTATCAGGTGGATGGAAGCTCTGAATTGTGTATATCTATAAAGAGAGGATCCTTGAAGGGAAAATCCACCCAAAAATGTTCACATCTCAAGCTGTACAGGCAGTGATTAATGGAACAAGTCGCAGGACTCGTAGACTAAAGCACTGTCCTCAAAACACTTTCATGTGGAATCACCCGTTTAGCTCACTGGGTTAAGCAGGCAACCCATTTGCCTCAAGACATGTCTTCCCCCTGGTTTTCTCCCAGGCTTCCTGTCTTCTCTTTGCTCTCCTATTGCAATATAATCCATATAATCTGGTACAGAATTTATATGGAGTAAATATTTAGTCACCACAGCCACCACAGGTGGGTAAGGTTTGGCCACCCCTTCTGCCCAGTAAGTGTGAAACGGCAATGTCTGCAAATAAGCCTTTACTGCACAGTGGTTGAAATATCTAATTTATTCATTTGGATTGTTGTAGGGCTTTAGGGGTATGCCTGCTCTGTTCCACCACCTGTCATTGTCTGTTCTGCTAATTTAAATCTCTGAACTGGATCTCTGGGCTGTGTTTGAGGAGGTGATTCTTTTTGGAACATTTTTAATTAATTATTAATACTCTTAATAAAGCCACCACAGGTGGGTAAGGTTTGGCCACCCCTTCTGCCCAGTAAGTGTGAAACGGCAATGTCTGCAAATAAGCCTTTACTGCACAGTGGTTGAAATATCTAATTTATTCATTTGGATTGTTGTAGGGCTTTAGGGGTATGCCTGCTCTGTTCCACCACCTGTCATTGTCTGTTCTGCTAATTTAAATCTCTGAACTGGATCTCTGGGCTGTGTTTGAGGAGGTGATTCTTTTTGGAACATTTTTAATTAATTATTAATACTCTTAATAAGCTTTTGTTTCAGTTTTACTATAGGGAATTTATTCTTCTGTTACTTGACACTTTTAAAAACTTTTTTTTTTTTAAGTTTTACATAAAAATGCTTGTTAAGCATGAGTCCTCATGGCATACCTTTCTATGGCAGTCATGCCTAAATGATTAGGAATGATTTGGTACATCTGGTAAGCAATCATTTGGTACTACAACAATCTGTAAAATGGGGAAACAAGAACTAGAAATAGTTCTGAGCTCAACCTGCCCACCTCTTTAAAAACTATCTGGCTCTGTGGCTGCTTCCACTGGGTTTCAGTCTAACAGAACCTGAGGGTACCAAATGCAGAGATGGGGATATAACTGAACTATGCACTTGTTTTTCCCCCCCACATCTATAATAATGCAGGCAAAGATTTGGTCCACTGACCTTAGTGACATTGAATATTGGATTAATCATTCAAATCTATATGTAAAACACCTAATTTTTCACTGAAGGTGATGACTTTGCGTTCTAAAATAAGCAAAATGTGAATGTTGTTGTGTGGATTTTTCCGATGACCTTGCACAAACAGCACAGTGGATAAGATGTAAATCAGTTTAGTGGTGTGTACTGTTGTTCAGATCTTCGTGCTGTAAAATGGAATTGAGTGCAACTGCATGGTCATGACTAAAAGGTGTATTTTATGATGTTTCTTTAAATGCATTCAAACATTGTACCATCTCAACACAA